GTACACCGTGTGCACGAACAATTTGCGAGTACAGAGAATGAGAGAAAGAGAGAGGGGGAGAGAGAGAGAGAGAGAGAGAGCGAGAGAGAGAGAGAGAGAGAGACATGTGCGCTGTTTGTCACGCCACGATGTCGGTCTCATGAAGCACAAGAAGAAGAAGACAATGAGAAAGAGAGAAAAAACTAGGAAAAAAGAACAAGATTAACACCACGATTTAGATATGTGTATATCGGCCTTTCAGTACTACTACCTGCGTCGTATTGATATTGAGTACGAAGTACGTTATATTTTTTACAATGTGAAGAATCTTGTACATATATTATATAGCGTCGAAGTATATACATTTTATGTATGTATATATATATATATATATCTAGGTATATATATATATATAGGTATATATATATATATATATGTATGTATATATGTATATGCATATGTATATGTATATGTACACGTGTGTATATGTATGTTGAACTCCCGGGAAGGAGAGGACAGCAAACCAGTGTGATTATTTCAACGGCGAGAGAGAAAAAAATGTGCATTGTAAAACGGACGAAAAAGAACGGAAGCTTGTCTTCTTTCTTTTTTTCATTAAAGCGCCTCTGTTCGCGAAAAGGAAAGGAAAAGAAACATGCTTCGTTTAACTCGAAGGAGAAGAAAACTGATCGGATGAGCGGACACAAGGCCGCCGAAGTGCTGGAATTTATCTTCTCGTTCCTTGCTCCTTGTCATTTTAAAGACGCGTTACTGATTTCTCTCTCTCTCTCTCTCTCTCTCTCTCTCTCTCTCTCTCTCTCTCTCTCTCTCTCTCTCTCTCTCTCTCTCTTTTGAGAGAGAGAGGGAGAGAGAGAGAGAGATCACCGTTCCGCGTGAATTCGTTGTTCCTGCCTCTCTTGCTTTCGACTCGGGTGAATCGTCGATGGATAAAGGCGATTCAGCGCGCTTTTACCTCGATGTGCCAGCACGTGAGAATCTAGTCATGGCCGAATTGCATTTCGAAGCGCTCGCAAATCGCGCTCCTCGGACGGGGAACGATTATTTCGCGAGCTTCTCTCCTCTTCTCTCCCTCTTTTCCCGCTTTCTTTTTCTTTCTTTAGACTGACTCCTCAAATTCGCAGCGTCCGCGAGCTAGCGTTGCTCGTCTGACAATCGACGATCTTGTCGACGAAGAAGAAAATCAGAACGAACGAAAAACCAATCTCGAGACTTTGGTGCACATTTTTTTCTTGGTTCGCGCGGACTTTCTGTTCTTACTTTATTCTTATTCACTAACTATTGTAACACGCGGTTATTTCGGCAGAATCGCACAAAGGGAAGCGTTAGATCTCTGTCTGAGGCAAGCGAATAGCTTGTCATCCTGACCGTCGTATCCATCGACTCTCGATACGATCTTGGAATCGCTATTAGCCAGACATTACATGTTCTGTTTTGCTAAAGTAGATAGGAATTGTTAGTTTTCGTTGATTATTGGTCGAGGACGATAAAGTACGCAGGTGAAGATTGGCAGTCTCGCCGGCTGTTGGTCGATTAGCCTCATCGAAATTTGACGAAAGTCACCCTTAAGATGATGACACACGGCAAAACGGAATCAGCGAGACGTCAGCAACGAACGAATCGATCGATCATAGCCCAGACTTTCGATATTAAGTATGTAATCTTTCGTTGTCAGCCGTGATTGATCGTTTATCGCTCACGTTTTTCTACAGGCTATGATTTTTGGCGGAATTAATATTCTGCGCGGCTAATTATTATTCTGCTCTGCCGCGTATCGCTGTCCTAACGATTCTATATTGAGATTCTCGCGATCAAATTCAACGATACTATCGCATTTCCATTTTTAGCGAGCCGTATGCGACCCGCGGAGTGAGGTTCATTTTGTTTTTAATCTTCAAAATAGCTTTTCCATCTGGGATGTTGATTTTTATCGCTCTGATGAGAATGTGACTCCGGGAATAATCGATTTTACCATTGGCTGCATTCAGAAGAACAAAATGATCAGTGAGCGCTTAGTGATTTTCGCTCCTGATTGGCAAATACTTCTAGGTCTATGAAGAATCTAAAAGAATGTTCCAGTCACAGACAATAATCACTAAGTGCTCACTGATCACTTTGTTCTGCTGAACGCAGTCATTATCTCTTCATCGATGATTATCACTTAGCAGTCCCATTGTTTGTTATTAATTGTCTGACGTTAGAAATAATAAATTGTAAAAACACATCGCGTGTCTGGCGATATCGTTATTTCGGATTATTTCGGATTATAGTTCTCTCAGTATCGTATTTCAGAACAGCGATACTTCTCTCGCGGATTCGAGGAGAGAGAAGAATGTTGGTTGGATTTGAGAAAAAAGGAAAGACACACACGGCTAATATGATTCCGCTTCGTATGACGATCACGAGGTTTCGTGTTACACGAATCGATTTTACACCGCGTTTACAAAAAAGAAAGAGAAGAGAAAAACGGTTTACGTTAACGGTTCTTAATAAATTTCTTAATAAACGCAGGTCGTACGCAGCATAATATTCCCGTGTTGTAAAGTATCGTGCTAATTAGGTAGTTATAATTTGGTTTGTACGATGTCGATAAAAAAGATAAAAAGGAACTTAATTCTTGTGATTAAGGAGAGGACTATACATATAGGTATAACGCTCACATATACGTTTCAAATAAATCCTTTTTATATTTCATTTTGCATCTTATTCGTCTACATTAATTTTTCTACTTCGTATGTACATACATAGAGCGTTCGTCAGTGTGTGTGTGTGTATGTGTGTGTGTGTGTGTGTGTGTGCGCGTGTGTGCGTGTGTGCGCGCGAGCATGTGTGTGTTTATGGAAAATTACGCGATGACACATTTGATTTTCTATACTCTTCGACTAGTGCACTTTTCCAGAACGGAGAATTTCACGCAGCAGACGAGAGCCTGGGTCGAAAATACAATTGATACGGCCCTAACTCGATTCGATTCAACATACTCATCGCGGACGAAGGACCGTACCGTTTATATTTTCAATGAAGAAATGTACCCCTCGCACGAATATCTTCTTCAGTTTTTGAGAGTATCTATCAAGGCCATAATATTCATTCGGATCTGACTTTCTATCCGGGTATCCGATTATTCAGACAGCAATGCCTCAAAAGTTGAGGTGACCAAATGTGGATCTAAATTCGCAGCAGAATCGGCTAAACGCGCAGTAACTTAGATCCTTCTCGAAAATTTGACAAAATTCGATCCATAAGTCAATATTTCTTAAATGTAATTTTACAACTTGAGACAATTGTACTTATTTATGTATCTAAATAATAATTATTTTAGATAATTATATTATTAAATTGGTTGTTTCTTTTCTTTTTAATCTTCAACTTTGAATTCGAACTCGGCTCTGAATTCAGATCTCTTTTTATGATCCAGATTTGAATTCGCATAATTCAGGTTAGCTGGATTATCTAGGATAGTAGGACTTTGAGTTTTTTTTACCTGAACCGATCCCGGATAGTCAAGTATCCGAATATTTAGAAATCCTAATACATATCATTGCTCGTTCAACTCCACTTTTGATACTGATACATTCAAATTTATTTACAAAGAGACAGATATATATATATAAATTTTCATAATATATATAAAAATATAAAATATATAAATTAAGAATTTGTCAAACGCTCAAGTACGCAATGAACAGTGCTATCATCTTGAAACGGCATCGATGGAACTGTTTTAACGTCTCGATGTCTCGATTTATTTTGTGTGTGCTATGAAATTGCAAAGTGTTCATGAAAGAGTTTGAAAGATATTGGATCGTCCGGTAAGTACATAAAGATTTTTGCGAAAATTTCAAAATATTTTTACAGTTGGGCATTACTTTGTTCAATAATGTATCAATCTTTGTGTCGATGGCAGAAGGCAATTCGAAAGGAAAATGAAAAGAATCAAATGCTATGGGGATGTTGATTTTAGATTTTTCATAAACATTTTTATAAATCTATCGAACAAGTGTCAACATTTCGAAACAATGTCGATCACATTGTATAAAGAAAAAAAGGTGGGAAATATTTATCTAAATTTTTCCAGAAATTAAGACAATTGAACATTGTTCCGACCTATTTTCCGTCATTATGTGTTGCGCGAAGTATTTACGAAAGAATATAATGAGCATATTCCCTTTCAAAGAAACAAAATCTCAAGATTCAAGACGTAATTATTTCTGAAAAATTATAATCTCTAAAACTGGACAAACTATAAATACTCAAAATACGGAAAAATATTTCTCGAAATATTGGAGAGTTATGCAATTATTTCAAAGTTGCAAAAACTAGTACAACGAGATAATATGCCGAAAACACGATTTTCCCCAAATAATTGTTTTTTCTTCCTATCATATTAGTATATGTAGACTTTTAACTTATTAATTTCGTCAACAACCGTGAAATGATTGCAATATGAAGCTAATCATGCGCATGCGCAATTCCGTATGAACAACATATTACAGTCATTTTATATTATATTTGTTAATATGTATATATATATATATATAAATATATATATATATATATATAAATACTATATATATATTAATTATATTACAATCATTTTACAGCTATAATTGACTTTCAAGAGAAGCACAGTATTTGACATTTTACAGGATGCTCTAGCCATCTGAAATACAATTTCATGCGAATTTGGTAATAGTACGCAAACATTTTCAATATGTCACATTTCCCGCCTCTGACGTCACATCCGATATGGCCGTAGCAAGTATCCAGAAGGAGCCTTAATTTTTTCATACATTATTAATATATTTCATTACATAATTTTTCGTTTAATTTTGTAATATGCATTATACTCAAGAGGATCCCGTAAACAGTTTGCAATACATTATTAATATATTTCGTTACGTAATTTCTTGTTTAATTTTGTAATATGCATTGTACTCAAGAGGGATAACTTCCGCAAACAAATAATTTTTCGATATTTTATTAATATATTTCGTTACGTAATTTCTTATTTAATTTTGTAATATGCATTGTACTCAAGGAATGACTTCCGTAAACAAATAATTTTTCGGTATTCTATTAATATATTTCGTTATATACGTGATTACGTAACAAAACGTGATTTCTCGTTATATTAGTTGATATTCTGATTTTTTACAATTACATTCTATCGATATTTTGCATTGTAATTTTGGTTGACATACATTGTCCTGGAAAAACATGTAACTAAATTTAGGAAATGGAACAATTTTATGAAAGTCGCGCGATATCGCGCGAAATTTAGCCATAGAAAAAATCCGAAGTACAATTTTATCAAGATATCGGGATTGTTTCGTACAGTCGGTTGCATTAGTATTCACTCATTTGAATACAACAAAAGTGAATATATCTCAATTGAGTTGATATATATATATATATACATATATATAATGAATATATTAATATACTTATGTACACTGTTTACGGGAATAATAGTTCTTGCTTGAAACAATTGTAAACTTCGGGAAAATTGTATTCAGAATATTGTCTGGGTATTCGCGGACTTCGATATTATAATTTTTCAGTAAACTGTTCCAATCTCCGAATTTCGACAGTTTTATCTTGCGGGACATTATACGTCGATCGTGATTACATATTTTCGATATTTTGGCAAATCACTTAGTATTCAGATTTTGGTATATGTTTTTTTTTTCGAGGAAATATATGTCCGTTAACAATCTTCGGATGGTGCCGCGGAACAGTATCAATACTTAAAACATGCGCTTGAATCCGAATTGTGATTATCAATATGATTGTCATATCATCTAGTTGTCACATACGTGAGACATCGTCGTCATGATCTTCTTCTAGTTAAAGCGGATGATAATTGAGATAACCGCAATCTTCCGAAAAAATTATGTTCTTTATCTTCTCGACAAATCGATGATGCTTTTCCGTGCCGGGTATTGAAAAACAGCCGCATATGAACTTATAGGAATCAATCATATCGTCCATCTCGTGACTACGCGTGCGTTTTCTGTTGTCTTCGTCCGCCTCGTTAGACATATTCGAGATGAATACACCAATTTGGATTATAAAATCCTGAAAATATATCATGTGTATATGCGACGTGAATTTTACAATTTTATATAAATGACATTATTGTACGCATTAGTCGGACGATATTATTCGTCAAATGCGCTCGGTTCCGTCCAATGAATACGTCTACCAATGAATACGTGCATTCTCTTGGAAAAAAAGAAGACAATGTCGGAAATTGAAAGTAGATAAAAAATTATCTCAAAGTTCTTTCAAATACAATTAAAATAAAATAGCAAATTTGAGCTGGCATATGATATTAATGTGAAATCATAAAAATACAAAAATTTATTTAAAAAATAAAAACCTGTCTAATATACAAAATGCAAAGTGTTTTAAAAGTGAGTAAATTTTCCACCAAGCAAACTTCTTCTAGTATGATAAAATTTTCCTGAAATATTAGAATTACATGTAATTGTGCTGAAAAATTATATATATATAACTGTGAAAATAATTTAAAATAATTTAAAATAAAATAAAATAATCTACATATAATAAAAAAGAATAATTATTTTTATTATGGTTGTTATCTAAAGATAATATCAAATAATAATTTATATTTAATATTTGTGTGTATAATATATACTTGTGAATAATTTAATAACAATTTATGATGTAACAATACTGAACAATAATAATTATTATCAGTATAGGATTATGAAACAAGCTTTTTTTGCGGCATATTATCTTGTACTGATTTTGGTATTATAATTTTTCGTGACAATTGCGTACTTCCACAATATTGAAGGAAAATTATATCTCGCAAGATTGTCCTGCTATAAGGACTTCAATATCGCAACTTTTCCCAAGTTATTCCTTGCTCTTTTTGAAAGTAGGATGTTAAAAAAGTGTCGATTCTGGCCCTCAAGAAAAAAATGAATGGACCTTGAAAAATCATTATTTGGGTCAGGTGACAGGAAATAACAATCATTTATCCAAACAGTGGTGAAAATATTGCAAGAATAGCTTGAATATAGTAAAAAATGCCACTAATAAAAAACTTGCAATTACCGATTATTCTAGGCGAGTCACACTTCCGTATGGTTCCTTATAAGTCACTCCTATAACGGTATATAGAAAGAGCAATTTTAAACGATACAAATAAAGTCATTATTGCGTACGACACAAGTAGTCGTACGGAAGCACGTTCGTAGCGAAAACGCGCTGCGCCTGACGCCGCATCTTCGGTCGTCGGCGTATGGTGGGCCATTTGTTCTTCCATATAGTAACACTATATATTCTCAATGAACAATTTTTTTATTCTTGAAATTGCATATCACCGAGCGTGAAGAAAGTCAATAAACGATACTTTACCTTATCCATCTCTCAATTTAGCGCTTAAAGAGACATCAACACCAGAATCTTTGAGATTCTCGGGGATAGTGAAAAAATTGCCTTCCCTATGAAAACAACACACGCGTATTCCATAAGAGACAAATATGTTCCTGCTAGACTTTATATAAACCTCGACGCATTCATTTCTCGGTAGACGTCTTAAGGATCTATCTATATGGCAGTGGAATATATATTTCTTATGAGATTGATTGCCTTTTGTAAATGGCACAGTTATGCTCAAATCAGCTTCATTATTGTTACGATTGTTTCAGTGCTAGACGAACATGATTTTGACTTGCTTTTTTCTGCGTAGCACTTTTTATATAAAACTGTATCATTAGATTCATGATATTCTGTGCGCGGTCTTTTTCCAAGTGATCGTGCACAATTAAAGCAACGTTTAAATATAATGAATATTTTTTCCGAGAAAAGTGAATGTTATTTTAATATATCTCTGAAATGAGTTACTGACCAATATAGTTAATAAAAGGAATTGATTACAAAAACTAAATATCACTATAAATGTTATATGTCGGAAATATCAACCTTTGACACTTTTTGGTGATATCTTAGCGAAGATATAATCATGTGTCAGTAAAAATAGTAATATGAATCAGTTACAACTGCCAGAATTGTAAACAAATGTATAATGTATAAAAGTAATTTTGAAGAATTAAGAGATAGATAAAGCAAAGTGTCGTTTATTGACTTATTTCACACTCGGTGATATGCAATTTCAAGAATAAAAAAAATTGTTCATTGAAAACTCAATGGGGATATATAGTGTCACTATATGGAAGAACAAATGGCCCGTCATACGCCGACGACCGGAGACGCGGTCGTGACGCTTTCGCTGAGCGTGCTTCCGTATGACTACTTATGCTGTATACAACAATGACTTTATTTTTATCATTTAAAGTTGCTTTTTCTACACCATTGTAGGAGTGACTTGTAAGGAACCACATGGAGGTATGACTCGCCTAGAATAATCAGTAATTGCAAGTTTTTGGCTAATGGCATTTTTTACTATACTCAGCTCATTTTTGCAATGTTCCCATCACTGGTCGGATAAACGATTGTTATTTCCTGTCATTTGAGGACCCAAACAATGATTTTTCAAAATTCATTCATTTTTTGCTTAGGGACCAAAATCGACATTTTTTTAACACCCCCCTTTCAGATTTTTATTTCTCGGAACATATCTATATGTTTCCATCCTTACCGATAATGATTTTTTCGTGCTCACGATGTTTTCAAGATTCGCGAGAAGAGCGTTGTACGTATCATAATACTGCGTGCCTTGCGTGCTCGGAACAACAAGATACATATTCTTCAGCAGGATTTGTATGATCATGTCCTTTTTTTCGAATGTTGTGACGTCCCACGATAACATCTCTGTGAATCGTATGCAGTTCTTCAACAACATGGAGAAATTGTCGGGTGGCACGTTTTCCTTATACTCGAGCCCAACGCACACCGCCTCCATGGTGATGCGTGTCACGTTATCGTAGGCATCCCATTCACTGAGCCAACCGAAGAAGAACCAATACTTGAGCGTCATGTCCAAGCAGTGCCTGTAATACTCCATTTCGACAGCGTGCAGCATCATGTGCCGGATAAAATCCTGTTTTTCTAGCGGGATGTGATCTATATGTAAAAACATATCAATATCCCGTTGATACATTTCCTTGAATTTCCTGCGTACTATGTAGCAACGTCTTGTGTAATCGTTGATGATGCTGAGAATGTCACCCTGCACCAGATACAAAAGTGGCGCGAAGACTGCCTTATCGAGAGGCTCAATGTGCGGCAGTATGGTGTTCAACACCTGCCGTTTCTGTTCGACGGTCATGAGATAAGGTTTTCGCACGCATTTATTCAGCACGCGCAGTAGATTTGTCATCAACTCGTTCACCATCGTACGGCGCTTCGTAGGTTCACATTTGCGCCAGTTGCTAATTTTGCGCGCTACTACCACGCACAGCTCCACCACGCCGAATTTGGGCGTGTACGTATCAACGATCTTGCAGATATTTATAAGGATGCAGCTGACGTTGATCTGATCGAAAGGTTGCTCTACCAGATAACGGATGAACACGTTATTCAGGATATCCTCCGGCGAGATAACGAAAGTTCCTAACATCACGGTGACGAAATTCGTATACTTTTGTATGTCCCAACGGTGGCTACAGAAACACAACTTATACAGCATCTTCGATAAGATTGTCTGATCCTCGCTGATTTTCAGGCATAGGAAGGGCCGTAGTATCAAAAGCTGCTGTGGTGTGCACACACATTCGTTAGATGTGTTGACGGTAATGTAGATCAGAGACATCAATACTTCTTGGGGTCTGTGTAGTATGTGTATTAGTAGACTCTTCATAAAAAACGGGTTGTTCCAAATGCCTCCTGCTTGTCGCAACAAAGTGTAGAAGCTGACGGGATCGTATAACTCCTCTAGAAAATTGTCATGGTAGTAGTGAAGCACGTATATCAGCACGATATTGTATATGTCCTCCATGCTGCGCTTCAACATTATTTCTATGACCATGGTTTGGAGCTTTAGTTTCTCCTGCGGAGTGTACTGCTTCACTGAGAATATATGCTTGAGATACTTGAAGAGCACCTCGAAGTTTTCGTTTGTCAGCAATCTCTCCCAAGTGCTAATGAACTGCAACATTGACTCGTCCCACTCATGGTAACGAAGCAGCAGCTCTTTAAGGTCCTTCAGCTGGCCCGACTGCACGCCGTCGCAGATCTCCTTCAGCGTCAATTGCGGTTGCTTATTTGATCCTACCAGCTGATCCAAACACATCTGTAGCTCCTGATTTTGCTGCAATTTGTCCGTCTGTATAACCTTTCCGAAGTAGACGCATTCCGTGATGATTGCGCGTTGCAAACTCAGCAACGGGTTCTCCCGATCTTCCATCTCGGCCCAGGCGAGGTACATGTGGCAATTCACCTCTTTCAAATGTTTCATCAGCAGCAGTACCAAAGCTTGGTCCATTTGATCGATGCAGGATAGCAGTAACGTTGACGGCAGTTTTCCTTTCAGCTCGTTGCCGAATGTCAACATATATAATTTCTCAGCATTGTCGTCTATGCCGCCATGCATCCTCTCCGTCGTGCACAATTTACTCAAACGGATAATATTCTTCAAAATGATCCCTTGATGCTCGTACCTGCATTTAGACAAAATTACGAATTAATGCGCGGAGCTCTCGGGTAGCTGAATGATTCGTGCAATCTTTCGATGTTTATCGAATTTCAAACTGCCCGGATTTGTCGAGATCGAAAATGCAACCCGAACACTTCGAGGTGCGTCAATTATAATGTCCAATTGTAAGATGCTACATTTTAAGTCTTAAACAAGTCTTAATATTTATTAGACTGAAATTAATCTTTCCAATCGTGTTTGAATATAATCTGAGTCCAGAAATAATGCATTACTTGCAATCGTCAATTTTTGTTTTGTTAGTGACACTAATCACAACACAATTATATTTTTTGAGTAAAGATATCGAAAAAGCTATTACTTTTATCCTTGTTTCTTTTTAATAAACTATAACGAATTATTTTGAAAAGTTAATTTTCTTAATTCTAAATACGACACGTTATGCTACTAAAAATATTAATTATAATACTCGAATAATTAGAATAATTTTATCATAATGCGTATAGACGTATTTGGGCACTATCAGAAAGAACAAAGAAACAAAAAGACCAATGAGTTTTGGAGCAAATATTAAGACCTTATTATGAACTGCTTAATGTACAGTCAGATACTTAAAGCACATTTGTAGCACGTTTATCTAGATGAATTTGACAAGGAAATTTTTCTGTCAAATGTCAGATGTGTTACTTACAACACATATATATAATAAAACTTATATCAGGATAAAAGTGTATTGCAACCTTTGAGCATCAGACTGTACTACTGCACTGGGGAAAATAAAAAAAAAGCTGTCACCTCAATTGCTCTGATATGTCAGGCAACCGAGTTACCCTCGGATTTGTTAGTTGATCCGATAACTCTTGAAAACTTGCCAGTAACTGATGTATATGTTCCTCATATGGGTGTGTCTGCGTGCCACTGACACTCAGTCTATAGATTAACTTATACATGTAATTCGCAAGTTGAGTCACGAGATTTATGGCCCGCTGGAATTCCAACTCTGCTAAACACGGTATAGTTACAGTGAGGATCTCGATGGACAGCTCCAATGGCAGATATAGCACAAATCTCGGCAGCAGTTCCTCGCAATGCAGACCCCAAATTATCTGAATCAACAGATATGGAGAAATTTTCGGCCACAAGCCCACTTGGTGACCGCGCAACATATCCTCTGCCAGGCGATACTGTGAATAAAAGTTGGTGTTCATCAGCATCACCTGGATACTCTGGAAAGCAAAAAAATAATATTACTATTGTTTATGCAACTTCCTTTTGTACTCTGCCTAACAGACCTACCCCGTAAGTGGCGTCCGACACCTACGGGGTGGATATATGAACCATATCTAGTGACAGGACTCCGCATCATAATGGCTACCTGTCATATAAGTTGCTGGCTCATGCACTCTAGTCTTTATGTTCAGTTTCTGATGATTAAACTGTTGATAAAACTAACAACACATGGTTTAATTAACTAAAGTTGAGAAATAACACATCACTTAGACTGTTGAGAAATAATAACATGTCACTTAAACTGTTACTAATACAAACTACTGATTTTTTTATTTGATATGAATGATAATTTGGTAACATTATTTCTCCTTGTTGTTAGTAATAATAATACAAGTCAACATTAATAAGTCTTGTTGTTAGTGATAATAACATAAAGCAAAGTCAATAATAAAATTATATGGTTTGGGTAACAGTAACAAACAGCAGTTGTTATTTTATACATATATAATACATGGGGCAATAGCAAATAGGAAATAAAAAAAGAAAATATCAAAACTTAGAAGGAAAGGGACAAAAATAACAGAAATTGTGCAATGATTTGTCACAACTCTTTGAGTAACAACAGCAGTAATGAGTTATTTTTCTAAATGAACAATGTTAACTGATGTAAAGGCAAGTCAGAGCCAATGCTGATATTTGAGCAAAAGTTGAATATATGAAAGAAAAAAATATGCTTCTATATTTAATTCAAACATTTTGTCTCTATCATTTAGATTCTTTTCAGTAAAACAATTTTTATATAAATGGCAATTGTCAAAATACTAAAATATTTATTGATATGTGATTAAATATATAATTCAAATTCCAGAGTTAACAAAGTTAACAAAGCATCATCGATAATTGAAATGTCTATTATTGAAATAAGTTAATGAGGAAAAAAGTTAAATAATAGGATCAAAATGTTCAAATTGAAAATATAAAAATATATTCTTTATGTGTTAAACTTTCATTTGCGAGCAATAAATGCTATCTCTTATTCTTATCTCTACATTTGTTTTTGGATTATATATATTATCTGAAGAGCCTATTTATCTTATTTATAATTAACGAGTTCTCAAGAGACTTTCCCAATCTTGAAAAATAAGTATACTAAGGAAATGGCAAAAAATTTACCGAGATGATTGGTACATCAACTTTTAGGTTGATGTATGCCTTAAGTTTCTCGCTCGTTGGTAGTACATTGTGCGAATCATATATCCTGAGGATGCCTTGCACGATTTGATCAATTTTGCTGGACGTTTCCGTGGTTGCTCGTGACAGAAGATTACTCAGCAATCCATATTCCTGTTCTTTTTTCATGAAGAACTTCTGCATGCTCGAATATAGTTCCGGTAATGCTTCAATACGTTTTTGCATCTCAATCATTTCGTCCAGAAGAGCCGCACCGGTGGGCCTCGACTTGACGCAACTAAACAAATCAATTGGATCGTCAGGATTAAAACGTAACTTACAACACACTCCTCGCGACACAGTTAAATTAACGTGCTAACGAGCGAAATCTGTCTACGATTACTACAGATCCTAACGGATTCTCACTTTTCCTCTCCTTTCTTGTTACATTCCAAATGTATACAAAGCGAACTCAAAGTTCGCCTTTTGGCGATTACACATAATTTACACATAAAAAAAAAACATGTTGGTAAACACACCGTTTTCTGTTATCATCGGGCGTTATCATCGACGGCTCCATTGCTATATCGCTCATTGAGGATTACGTCAGATCTCCCGCATGTACGACGCACAATTCTGTCAGCAAGTTTCACGATCAGCTGCGAGAGCAAATTCATTTCGGACGTTTTGATCGAATTGATCGGAAAATATGGTGCGAGCCTGGTATATGGACAACAGCGATACCGACCAACGATTGGAACATCACCGGCAGCCCGCAGAGTTCGTGTCGTTGGACGAGCTTTTCGCAAAAACAGGTGTCGAATATTTTAAGGTTAGAAAGAGTATGAAGAGTTTCGTTAATTCGCCGATGCGCAAATTTTTCGTACGCGCACCTAAATTTCACGAGTCTCTCCCTCTTTCTTCTTCGTTTGCGCGTGCACGTATGCTCACTCTCCTCGTAGTACGATGTTTTGCGTCTTGAAACGCCAACTCGTTGTCGATATTCGAATTCATAATAACCTGGAATGCTTGATCATAAGTAGCAAAGTTTATTCGTTTTCAGACAACTTCTGAACTTTCTTTTTTAATTGAATTCTTACGTTGTCCTGAACATTCACTCCTTTTTCCTTTGACGCAAGTTTATGTAGTTATTTCATTCTAATGGTAAAAAAGTGTAACATAATTCAATTGAAAAGCATAGATTTTTAGAGTGGAGGAAAACATACCCTGCTCAAAAAATTTTAAACTTTTTCAGACATTTTTTCTCAAAATTATTCAGCATATTTATATATGAACATTTTTGAGAAGTATCAATAATTTCTTAGTTTTTCTCAGAAATAACTAGGTGAGAATTCTTAGAATTTTTCAATATTCCTATATAAAAAAATTTTTATATCTCTATAGGAAAATTTGTGAGAAATATAAAAAATTTCTCATTATTTAGAAGAATAATTGAAGATATTTATATGAGAATTCTTAGAATATTGATGCATTTCTATACATGAAAACTTTAGAGAAATTTTTTTGGAGAAGTTTTTAAAATTCTTTATATATAAAGCATTGTTTTACATATAAATTATTTTTTATTTTTTTATTTATTTTTATTTATTTTTATTTATTTTTATTTATTTATTATTTTTATTTTTATTTTATTTTTATTTTTATTCTTATTTTTATTTATTTATTTTATTTATTTTTATTTTTTATTTATTTATTTTTTTTATTTTTTTTATTTTTTACATATAAATTATTTTGCCTATTATTAAATGCATTGATATATTAACGTCTGTCGATAAATATATATATGTGTGTGTACTTTTGTGTGTATATGTATAAATGTGCAAGATATAAGAATTGGATATCTATTTGCTGAAGCATCTTTTAAGGGGATCCTGGAGTCGTCAACGGACTTGCAAAGCGTCGATAACGTAGAGGCATCAAAAAGTAGGGAACGTTATTATCTGTTATCGACGTTAGTGAATTTGGTACACATATGTGTATATATATTTACATAGTATTTATATAGTAAAGACAATTGCCGGATAATTGCTTATGCGATTACGCTATCCTTTCATCGCATTTTTCCATATATATCTTTTCTCACAGACTTCGGACAAATGTGTGTGTGTGCATTGTCATTTCGACTTTTCTACACACAGATCTTATATGAATGTGAATGCGACGTTGCCGATATTTGCCTTCTCTCCGAAATGTGCATTTTGCTGCTGCTTCTCGGATTCTTCGATTCGCTGATATATATACAGTGTAACATAATAAAAAATAATTTGAGCAATGAATATTATTACAAGGAAATGATTCTTCAGAAATAGTATGCTTGTTTTCACGTAAATCGGCTTCTCACTTTATCGTGTCAACGACTTCTTTTTGTCAAGTTTACGTCATATTAGCAGTACGGAAACATTTTCGTACAGTGAATATTCCTGTCAAAATAAAGCGGAGTATTACAAATCATCCGAAAAAAGCGATGGGAAACTATTGCGAATAGGACACCAAGTTCCTCCTGCAACGTTTACGTCGCATTGGAAGTACGGAATTGAAAATGCTTTCGTACAATGAATATTCCTGTCAAAATGAAACGGAGTAATTTAAGACATCCGAGAAAAACGATGGAAAACTATTACGATTAGGACACCGACTTCCTTCTGCAATGTTTACGTCGCACTAGCAGTACGGAATTGAAAACGCTTTTGTATGGCAAATATTCCTGCCAAAATAAAGTGGAGTAATAAAAACCATGTAAGAAATATGAGAAACTATTGCGAATAGAACACCGACACTTTCTTGCAAAGTTTATGTCGCATTGGCTGCACGGAATGAAAAAGACTTTCGTACAGTGCATATTCCTGCCAAAATAAAATGGAATAATGCAAATCATCTGAGAAAAACGATGAGTAACTATTGCGATTAGGACAACGAGTCCTTCTTGCAAAGTTTACGTCGCCTTGGCTGTACCAAATTGAAAACCTTTTCGCTTCGCATAATAAATATTCGTGCGAAAATAAAAAAAAAGTAATAAGAAACATCTCGGAAAAATGATGAAAAATTCGATGCGCCGAATTGAGAATATTTTTATAAAGGTAAAGTACGTGTGTGGGAATATGAAATGGAGCATTGCTCAATATGAAATTAATGTTCTATATCGGCCTAGAAAAATTTTATGTGTAATTGAAAATTTACGTCGCACTGACTGGACTGAATTTCAAATCCTTTTGCATGGCAATGTTTCGCTTCATCTTTGCACGTATTTTGACTATGCGAAAGGGCTTTGATAAAGTGTGAGAGAGAGGATGAGAGAGACAGAGAGAGTGTGAGAGAGACAGAGAGAGGGTGAGAGAGAGAGAGAGAGAGAGAGAGAGAGAGGAAGAGAGAGAGAGAGAGAGAGAGAGAGAGAGAGGAGAGAGAGAGAGAGAGAGAGAGAGAGAGAGAGAGAGAGAGAGAGAAAGAAAGAAGGACAGAGTGGGAGAGGGAGAGAGTATGAGAGAGAGTAAGAGAGAGTGTGAGTGAGAGAGTATGAGAGAGAGATTTTGTGAGAGAGGGTATGTGAAAGAAAAAGTGTGGGAAAGAGAGTGTGAGAGATAGGGAGTGTGACAAAGAGAGAGTGTGAGAGAGGGAGGGAGAGAGAGGGGGGACAGAGAATGAGTGAGAGGGGGGAGGGAGAGAGTGAGAGTGTGAGTGAGAGAGAGTGTAAGAGAGAGGAGAGTGAGAGAGAGAGTATGAGAGAAAGAGGGAGAGAGTATGAGAGAGAGAGTGTGTGACAGAAAGAGTGAGGGAGAGAGATTGTGAGAAATAGGGAGTGTGACAAAGAGAGAGTGTGAGAGAGGGAAAATGTGAGTGAGAGAAATTGTAAAAGAGAGAAGTGTGTGAGAGAGAGGAGAGTGTAAGAGAGAGAGTGTAAGGAAGAAAGAGTGCGACAGAGAGTATGTGTGAGAGAGAGAGAAAGAGAGAGAGAGAGAGGGAGGGAGAGATAAAAACAGTGTAATAAAAAATAAGGGTTCGTATTTAAAAAACGCATGTTAACTTCCAAATGACCTTGAAGATCATGGCCAATGCCAAATTCATGGTCACCATCAAATCCGTCACTCGATTTTCTACAATTTTTGTTTTTAAAGTTTTTCATGAAAAACTTGATCCTGCAAAGTTATCCTGGGGGTCCGGCATTTTTACCAACACACATGTATACCATGATTTACATATGTATACCAAAATTCACTAACGTCGGCAACAGATGATAACGTTCCCTACTTTTTGACTATCAACCCTATCATTTCTTTTTCACTCACTCACTCATCCCCCTCCCTCTCTGCCTCTCTCCCTCCCTTCCCCTTTTTCTCACAATCTCCCTCACACTCTCCTCTCTCTCCTTCCCTCCCTCCTTCCCTCCCTCCTTCCCTCCTCCCCTCTCTTTCATACTCTCTCCCTCATACTCTCCTTTTTCTCTAACCTTCCTTCTCCTATTCTCACCCGCTATCCCCAAACCTCTCCCCCTCCCACTCTCTCACCTTCTCTCTCCTTCTTTCTCCCTCCCTCCCTCTCTCTCTCACACACTCTCTCCTTCACTCTCTCTCACACTCTCTCCCTCCCTTCCCTCCCTCTCTCTCTCTCTCTGTCCCTCTCTGTCTCTTTTATTTACGCGCGCGCCATTCTAGCTGATTCATATAAAGTTTAGAATAAATATTATAAATCATAAAAATAATCCCTGTAGTGTAATATAAGTATAATATCCGACTCCAACATACGATGTATTAGGCGTATACAGTTTGAAATTTAGAGAGGGGGAGAGGGAGAGAGTGTGAGAAAGAGAATGAAAATAAAATGAAACGATATGTAAGCAGCCGGATCATGTAAAATCTAACGTACTATTTTTTTTTAAACTGTTATTGAACTTATTTTAAATTTATAAATCTTCATAAAAATTTCACAGCTCAGCATTATATAATATATCCCTCTAAATCTTCCGAAGCATAATTTCTGTGGAATATTATTCATTGCATAAATTATTCTGTATTATGTTATACCGTATATACCAACAGGTCTAAGAATCGGAGAAACAGTAGCAAAAAGCATATTTCGGAGAATGAGAAAATATTGGCAGCGTCGCATTCACATTCATATAAGATCTATGTGTAGAAAAGAAGAATTGACAACGCAGCACACACACGTTTGTCCAAAGTCTGTGAGAAAATATATATATGAAAAAATACGAAAAGGAGACAGCGCGACATGTCGCAGCTCACTGAACATCTTGACAATCGCTTCACCTCGCATATATATACATACATACATATAAATTATAAATTAAATTATATATATATAGCTAATTTAATTTAAGACATTACATGTGAGGTTGTGATTGGTGTGTACGACATACGTGTAGAATATAACAACGTTTTCCGACTGATTGTGAATGCAACCTAATGAGCGTGCGATTGAGGGAACGAAGATACGAGAGAGTTTCAAACACTAATCTTTTTATTAGCTGTACAGATTGAAAAATCCTTTTGCACAATGAAAGTACTTATAATAACGAAGGCCGGAAGACAAAGTTTTATGTAAAATTCAATGAAAAATTTTACAATTACAGTTTCCTTGTCATAACATTACTCCACGCATGAAACAGACAAGGATAGTACGATCGTGTCTGCCTGCAGCTCCATCGATCATGATTATGCGGAACTATTCTACTGTTCTGTTTTATCCAAAAATGTAGCAAACACAATTCCGTATGCATTACATTTTTCTCAAACACTATTTTTTTACACTGACTTCTAAGCTCATTTCTGTTACTTCAGTTTTATTCTTTCATATTATGGC